AAACTCCTCCCTTCTTCCAGACATGTCAGCCAATTTAAATCTAGATATAATCTCAAGACCTACTAAACCTGTATGTATTATTTCCACTCCTCAGAAATTCCAGTTAGGGAGGTATCTATTTCACTGGGTCCCTGCCCCAAAAAGTTCCCCTATGGGTTTATTCTTACAACTTGAAATAAAGAAGTCTAAAAAAAAAATACTATTCAGCCTGATTTACACAAGATATTTGTGGCCATTTATAAGAACAAAGGAAAGGCTGGATGCAGTGGCTCAGGCCTATAATCCTAGCACTCTGGGAGGCCAAGGCGAGCAGATCACCTGAGGTCAGGAGTTCAAGACCACCCTGACCAACATGGAGAAACCCCGTCTGTACTGAAAGTACAAAACTAGCCGGGCATGGTGGCGCATGTCTGTAATCCCAGCTACTCAGGAGGGTGAGGCAGGAGAATGGCGTGAACCTGGGTGGCAGAGGTTGCAGTGAACCCAGATGGCACCATTGCACTCCAGCCTGGGCAACAAGAGAGAAACTCCATTCTCTAAATAAATAAATACAAACAAAGAGATTCTGCCATTGCACTCCAGCCTGGGCAACAAGAGAGAAACTCTGTCTCTAAATTTAAAAAAGAACAAAAGAAAAACAAGTAGATAAAAATCAAACTCTGAAAAAATACATAGAAGATCAAGAATAAGAAATTAGATTAGTTAAATTACAAAAAGAGCCACCACTAGGCTCTGTGACTCACAGGTATAATCCCAATTCTTCAGGAGGCCAATGTAGGCGGATGGCCTGAGCCCAGGAGTTAAGAGACCAGCATGGGCAATGTTGTGAAACCCAATATTTATAAAAAATGCAAAAAGAAGAAAAAATGGTATTTCACAATTTTTTGTCATGATGTGAAACTTGAATCTATTAAATCTTTTTTCTTTGACAAAAAAAAAAAAGACTAAAAAGACTACAGATAGACAACCAAGCCAACACAATTATTAAAACTGAACACTTTTTTTTGAAACAGAGTCTCACTCTGTCACCCAGGCTCTAGTGCAGGGGTGGGATCTCTGCTCACTGTCATCTCCACCTCCTGGATTCAAGCAATTCTCCTGCCTCAGTCTCCCAAGTAGCTGGGTGACAGGCTCCTGTCACCACTCCTGGCTAATTTTTTGTATTTTTTAGTAAAGATGGGGTTTCACCATATTGGCCAGGCGGGTCTCGAACTCCCAACCTCAGGTTATCCACCCACCTCGACCTCCCTAAGGGCTGAGATTACAAGCACGAGCCACTGCGCCCAGCCTGAACCCAACTTTAATAGATTTTTACAACTACAGCACAAATTTCAGGCAATCAATACTCTGCTTTGTCCATAAGGAAAAGACAAATTAAAGCTCTTTCTGAAATAAATCTGAATAGCATTTCTTTTGGACAGAGTGATGTAATATGCTTCTTCATCTACAAAAAGGAAATAGCAAACTTCAGCTGTTTCGTGATTTTAAAAAAATTAGTGCAGGAAAATAATAAATTATCTCACTTTACATGACTTAAAATCTTAGTTTTTGAAATTTCAAGCTGGAGTAAATAAAACAGTAGTTGGCTAAAACTACTGGTGACACCCAGCATTATCAACTTCAAACATCAAAATGAGGTCTAACATTTTCATTGTGGACTTGCAATAGATAATTAAGCCTAGGTGAATTTTCTAAAGACAAAAGGGTGGAGAGCACTCTCTCTTCTCTATATCTTATACACATTTTTATTATTGTAGTTATGGCATTATAATTATAGACTCTAAGATGTGCATTTTTGTCCTGTTTGTAACCAATCCCTAGTATATTTAGCGGAAAAATACATACTCAGTAAGTGTTCACTGAATTAAATAATACTGATACTATAAAACCAAAGTCAACAGAGTAATGTATTACAACAGTGAAATAGCTATTAGTCTGTAACTCCCACCAACAGGGAAGACTAAGAATGGGAAACATGTTCCAGAGCACCAAAGCTTTCCAGATCACGACTTGATTTTTTCCATTGAAGTATTTAGTCTTATAATGCTCCAGAATTAGACCATTCTGTAAAGACAGGAATATCTGCACTGGCTAAGCACAAAGCCTAATTCACTTGCCCCTTAAACAGTGTGGGGGTTAGGGACACCAACCCTCAAGCAGTCGAAAACTCACAACTTTTGTCTCCCCCAGAACTTAACTATTAATAGCCTACTGTTGACCAGAAGCCTCACCAATAACATAAACCGTCAATTAACACATATTTTGTATATGTATTATATATACTCTATTCTTCAATAAAGTAAGCTAGAGAAATTAAGAAAATCATTAGGAAGGAAAACTATATTTACAATTCATTAAGTGGAAGTTGATCAACATAAAGGTCTTCATCCTCATAGTCTTCATGTTGAGTAGGCAGAGGAAAAAGAGGAATGGTTGGTTTTGCTGTCTTAGAGGTGGCAGAGTTGGAAGAAAATCCATGTGTAAGTGCACTCATGCAGTTAAAACCCATGTTCAAGGAGGTCAACTGCACATTACATACTTAACATTTAAATTATCCAGGCTGGTAGGGATGTGCATTCAGGAAAGTAGTTAATAATTTTCTTTTGTTCTTATAAATGGTCACAACTATCTAGTGCAAATCAGGCCAAACAGTATTTAAAAAAAAAAGAAAAAAAACTTCTTTATTTCAAGTTGTAAGAATAAACCCCTACGGGAACTTTTTGGGGCATCACCCTCAATAGCCAGGGAGAGCATTCTTTTCCTTCTGTTTTTGAAAAATGATCAGTAACAATGTTTATTCTGTAACCTTGTCTTTTTATTCTAATCAACGATTTTTGTCATTGGTAACTGTTCTGAACTTCTTCCCTTGTTCTGCATTCTTTGTTCCACACAACTGAAGGTGCCTGGGGATATACAGGAGAGGGTGAGTGCTAAGAAGTGAAGCATTCTTTTACTATTTCTTTCCTTATACACACTCACTTTTCTGTTTACACTTAATTTTCAAAGTACAGCGCCAAATTGCTACCAATGACTTAACTAAATAGCTCAGTTCCTACATCAAGTCCTTAAAAGATCTGGAAAAAGAGGTAAGTTGCAGAGCAAAAAAGTATCTCAGTCCATTTTTGTTGCTGTAACAGAATACCTGAGACTGGGCAATTTATAAAGAAAAGAGGTTTATTTTGGCTCATGATTCCAAAGACTGAGAAGTCCAAGATCAGGCAGCCCATCTGTGAGGGCCTCATGCTGCCTCAACTCATGGTAGAAAGCAGATGGTGAACTGAGGAGGGCAACGAGAACAAAACACACGAAGTATCCTCACTTCATAACAACCCACTCTAGTGAGAATTCATCCATTCCTGCAAAAGCGAATCCATTCCAGAACTGAGTCTCATGAGAAAGCCCTTAATCCATCTTAATGACCTCATCACCTCTTAAAGGCACCACCTCCCAACACAAACAAACTGGGGAATCAGGCCTCAGCATGAGTTTTGGTGAGGCCAAACCACATCCAAACCACAGCAGGAAGTTTTAAAAATAGGGTGGGGGAAACCTCAGTGGAAATAAAAACTTCTAGACCATTTACCATTAATGCATATGATACGCAGAGGCTACATTCTTTTAGGCTATAAGGATCTTTATCTAAAAGTTATTAACTTAGAAAAGCTGAAGTTTCTCTTCCTTTTTAAATGTTTTCACTTTGTCTATTATTCACTTATCTGTTTAGGAAAGCATTTAATAAAAATAAAACCTTTAACTATTTCTATTGTATAATATAAAACGTTTTAAGAATATTCTTCTGTGTCTCAAAGTATACATATTCATATTCACTTTTTAAATATACGTATATATTTAAAAATTTTTTTATAGAGATGAGGTTTCACCATGTTGCCCATGCTGGCCCTGAGCTCAAAATATCTGCCCACTTCAGCCCAAAGTGCTGGGATTACTGGCATGAGCCACTGCACCTGGCCTACCTTCACTCTTAGTTATAGCAAAGTAAATGCTGGAAAACATCCCAGTTCTTTTTGTATGGAATTTGGCTAAAAGAACCCACTGCTCAAACCACATTGTTAAGTTCATGAAAAACAGCAAAACATGTACCCTAAAACTAGCTTCTGAATCTTTCTGCATATTTTAACATCAGTTCTATTTATGGAATTTGGGTCTGTTTTCCTGGTGTGGAAGTGTATTTGAGGTAGGGTGAAACAAAGGCAGTTTGAGATAATTGTGATTAATAAATCAAAATTTCAAACTAGTCAACTTAATTCATTTCTCCATTCTCATAGTGCACACCCATCAGTTTCTTTAATTATGGAAAGATGGTCTTTCTAGGACCAGAGAAAACATCTGATATTACACTGAAAATTTAGTGAAATCTATAGACTTTTACTTTAGGTCATCCAAGAGGGCATGAAAATAATTTTTGTTACAAAAAATATTTTTGTATTTTTGTGATGGGATTTTACCTATAACAATAATAAAAGCTCACGTTTACTGAGTGGCCAATATGTATCAAGATAATTGTTAAGAATTTTACATGGATTGACTTAATCCTCCAATAACCCTAGAAAGTAGATATGATTACCATTAGCCCTGTTTTATAGATGGAAAGTAAGTTTGGGTAATTTAAGCTCACTTCCATTCTACAACAGGGATTCAAACACCAGGTGCCAGTTAGCACGCTTAATCTCCACACTATACTGTCTTCCCACCTATGTAGAAAGTTGAGTATACTCCATTTAGGTAAAATCCCATCTCCTGTCAGATTTTTCTCTCTTGCAGTGCATTTAAAATTCATCCTGAAGTATTGAATCATGAGATGTAATGCCTTTAAAGCACAGTTTTGACTTAAATATTTTCCCTATTACATTTTTAAATTTTTACTATCTCTCAAAATGAATATATAAAACATTTCAAAACATGTTAAAAACAGAATAAGACAAAAAAATTCATGTTTTAAAGGAACATAACCGGTTAGTTGGTATTCCAATGAAAGCATCTTATAATAAACACAAATTTTAATTTTTCATTTAACAACACTAAAGAATGAGGTATATAAATGTTTTAATCACAGACTTTTACTGTATGCAATTAACTGTATTTCACAACTAGCATCTTACAAAAAAGACAGTACCACTGTGCCTGAAAAAATACTATAAACAGGAAATTACATTACCACACAAAACCACCAAATATCACAACTGTTAGGGTCTACAGTTTTATTTTTTTTCTTCAAATGTTACCATGATGTCTTATGTGATATTTTGTATCCACATTCTATTTTTAATTTCATTTACAATTCAGACATCTCCTATAGGTGGATATATATTAAGCAAATGGTTAAAAGGAAGCAGGAGACCCCAGGAGAATTTAAGAAGTACTGTGTGGTTTCTAGGCTGAAATTTTAAATACAACATAAAACACTTTAATAGTTGTAAACAAAAATGTAAATTCTGTGTCATAAAAATATTTATTGGCAATTTTACATAGTATAAGTGGGGCTGTAGTTTTTTCCTTTCTGGCTACTGAGTAATGTGTAAACTGGCAGTTGTGTCTGAAAATAGGGTACTATGATTTTTATAAGGATTGTTATATTTAATAAGAGGCCAATTTAACTGATTTAAAATTAGTTATTTCCCATTTCTGTGCAACAATTCCCATATTAATTAGATTCATACTTCTATGGCCCTGGATAAGTTTGGGACAAGGAAACAGTGATAAAACTATCATTAAGTTAAAGCTTTTCTAAAATTACAGCTTGTAAAATATGGCAAGTTTCTTTTCTCTTGTTTTTGCCAAGTGCTTATAATTATTTGAATTTTAATGTTTTATATGATACAAAAAATACCAGTGTTCAATGACAATAGCACTAAACCTGAATTATAAAGCTAAATAATCAATATTTTATTGTTTACTAGTCTGCTAGTAAACATTACAATAAATGAATGTTTTGAAAAATAAGCAAAGAAACAAAAAAACCTCAAAAAATGGATAAAACCAGAAACACAATTCAGAAACAATAATTAGTAAAACGTGTCAAAAAGACTGGCAAAGGTTCATACAAATTCTTTATTTCATAACAATTTTCCTATTTAACCACACCAAGTACCAGCAGGTGTATTGAAGAGGATAACCATTAAGAAAAACCTGTTGCAGCAACAGTTGATTAAGTTGATCTTTGACTTGTATACATATAACTATCTGTTTCACAATTCTCAAATAATACATATTTAGGCAGCTTGCACTATGTTATAAAAAATTTAAATTCATTACATGCCAATAGTAGAGAATTCAAGAATTATGTGTTAGAATTCACTAAACTAAAAGTGAAAATACACTTACCAATAACACTGCATAATGAATAATTCAACCACATTTTCATGGCACTTAATTGCAGATACCAAAATATTAAGTCTGGAAATGTTTGGGTAGGCATAGTTGCAATAAAATCTACAAATTTTAACAAATTTCTATTTTATGTAAAACTCAAATTATGGATTGTTCATGAATAAGTTTGTCATGAAAATGTGGTACCTCTTGGCATAATCTGTGTATTTGCATGGTAGGACAGAAGTAACTAAGAAATTAGTTACTTTGGAGAAAATAAACTTAAATTGGAGAAAATAAACTTTAATGAGATTCTCCATTCAATGATGAGGCTTCTCCTCTAGGTGAAGATGACCTGGACATTCCCCTCTCTGTGTTATCAGAACTAGAGCCACTTTGACTGTGTTGATCTGCAGAAGCAGCACTAGATGCAGGTGGTGACTTTGTTTTCTCCTTAAAGTCTGTAATAATGACTGTCAGATCTCCAACGGTCACTTCCAAATGCTGAGCACTACTCCGATCCACATTTTTCAATCTTGGCCTAAACATAAAAAAATGAAATTTTAAACTAGCTTTTCTGTCTACCAAATTTCTGAACATATAATAAATAATAAAAGTAGGTAAAAGTAATAAATGAATACATAAAGCAGTTTATGTGTAACCAACCACAAAAACATCATAAAATGTTTCAACTCATTAACATTAACCAGACCAATCATTCATGAATATTCTTCAATGTGACCAAAAACTGTGACAGCCTAGAAGAAGTAAATTAATTGTGCTTCTTTAGCTGTATCATAATTTTGCGGACAGCCTATTCATTTTATTAAAATTGATGTTTTAGACAACAATCAAATAGTTGCATCATGGAGGAAGGTGGTAAAAGCTAAGGTTGAGCTACATGCAAGGAAGGCTGTTACTCCACTAACACACACTAAGGGTATCATGATTGTTCTAACTAAACTACGTACTAGATGTACCCATTTTGAAACACATGACCCATGCGAATATCTGTTTGGTACTTTGAAAAACACTCCTGGCTTCAAATAGTTCTTCTTAAGGGAAAAACAAAACAAAACAAAACACCCAGACACAAATGTCTTCCAATCTAGTAAAAAGAAAAAAGCAGCAACACATTTAAGCTTTTATTTGTGGCTTCTGTGTTTAATTCCCAACCTATCTATCAAACTCAAACATTTCCTGATACTATGAGATCAAATATTTTACTCCTACTTTGGGCATATTAGTATATCGAGGTTAAAAAAAATTAAATGGTTTTATTATTTCAAAAATGTCATAAAACATTCTTCAAATTTACCTGGTTTTCTTATGGCTATTCTTTTTGCTAGTTGTTTCCTTTTCACTTTTTTCTTTTTCTACTTTATCTTTTTTCTCTTTCTTTGACTGTGTAGGAGGCACAAACTGCTGCGTAACCTGCTGTGCAACCAACTGGGAGACAGGTCGAGGTTTCCTGTGTGCATGTTAAAAAGAAAAGTGTTTTAAATTATAACTTAAAACATACGTTCTTTATGAGAGAATATCTCACATTATGAGAACAAATTAATAACGAAATAACTTTCAAGTATAAAAATTCCTCATATGTAAGGCAATCAAATATACAATTTTAAAGATATATATTATTGTTTTTCCTGTTCAAAAAAAAACAGAACCAACTATAACAGTTAAAATTTATAGTCTAAATATGTGGTCAAACATTACAATACTGTTACATAAATCAACATAGGAAATTATTTAAAATATGTATCAAACTAAATGGAATGTGCCCATATATAAACATGAATTCTAAAAGTTAAACTTCAAAGTTTACAATGAAATAATAATTTATCCCTCCTCCTTTAGAGAAGGAAATACCTAACCATTTGTGACAATGGCTATCTATTCTTTAAAACTTTTCATTTATCAAAAAATTTATTGTCAAATTTTATATTTATATTATCAATTTTTTAATTATCAAAATTTCTCACTCCTTATTGCTTAAATCCTTTAAGTTTCTAATGTCTCCAGCCACAACCTCACTATGCTCTTTTGACCTTGGAGATCTGCCCAGTCCTTTGAGATTCATCTACTTGCTAACTTACTCACTTAGAAAATATTTATTGAAAACCTACTGTAGGAACTGTTCAGGGATATCTGAAATGTTGCCTGGCTTCAACATCTGAAGCTGGTACAAGCTTTTACCTTTCCAGCTTTACCACAGAACTTCTACAACTGAGGTTAAGATTAAAAATAAAGTCTCTAAAGTTCTTAAGGCAGAAAAAAGGATACAGCAAGGAAAGAGGCAGAGAGAAGGAGGGAAAAAGTAAGGGAGAGTAAGATAAAAATACATTTTAACAGATGCTCTACAACTAATGTTAACTTTATTGCCTGAAAAATCCTGACCCTTTCTTGGTTAGCAGAGTTTGAGATGCAGATTAAGAGATACACAAATAAAAGTGATATTGAAAGTATGGTAATTAATGGCTGAGATTAAAAAAGGAAAAGCTGGTGGTTTTCAAATTTAGGGTACATCAGAATCACCTAGAAGGCTTGTTTAGCTTGCTTAGCCCTACCCCCCAGAATTTCTGATTCAGTAGGCCTTGAAGTAGAGCCCAAGAAATTGTATTTCTAACTAGTTTCCAAGTTATGCTGATGTCTCTGGGGACCACACTTTAAAAAAGAAGCATGAAGAAGTATAATATATCTGGTGAATACTGGCACTACTGCAGGATCAAATTTGAGACGGAGAGCAGAGTGGCAGAGAGAGGAGGAAAAAAACCAAGATGGACAGACAAGAAAGGGTCCCAAGATTAAAAGCTAAGCAGTCTGATTTTATCCTTAAGTGATCAGAAATCTCTGAAGAAATTCCAACTTTAATTTTAAAAAGATGACTGGCATTAGTCTGAAATAGGTACTACACTATACTGGAAGTAAAAATGTGAGACTAGTGGTATAATAAGTGATCAGGTAATCTCTGTACCTAGTATTGTTATTTTTTAAGCATCAACAACTTTTCTACAATGGTTCCTTTTGGCCTTAAGAAAAATGTTACTTTCTTCTGTTCTTGAGTCGTTATATATCTCTCTCTTTTTTTCCTAGGCTTTCCTAAATGTGTACTACACAACTATACCATTTTCCAAAATTACACTTTAAGTTCTCAGGTACATGTGCAGAACGTGCAGGTTTTTACATAGGTATACACGTGCCATGGTGGTTTGCTGCACCCAACAACCCATCATCTACATTAGGTATTTCTCCTAATACTATCCCTCCCCACCCTCCAACAGGCCCCAGTATGTGACATTCCCCTCCGTGTCCATCTGTTCTCATTGTTCAACTCCTACCCATGAGTGAGGTAGAACATGTGGAGTTTGATTTTCTGTTCTTGTGTTAGTTTGCTGAAAATGATGGTTTCCAGCTTCATCGTGTCCCTGTAAAGGACATGAACTCATCCTTTTTTATGGCTACACAGTATTCCATGGTGTATATGTGCCATATTTTCTTTATCAAGTCTATCATTGATGGGCATTTGGGTTGGTTCCAAGTCTTTGCTACTGTGAATAGTGCTGCAATAAACATATGTGTGCATATGTCTTTATAGGAGAATGATTTATAATCTTTTGGGTATGTACCCAGTAATTGGATTCTGGATCCAATGATATTTGGATTAAATGATATTTCTAGTTCTAGATCCTTGAGGAATCGCTACACTGTCTTCCCCAATGGTTAAACTAATTTACACTCCCACCAGCAGTGTAAAAGTGTTCCTATTTCTCCACATCCTCACCAGCATCTGTTGTTTCCTGACTTTTTAATGATCACCATTCTAACCGGTGTGAGATGGTAGGTATCTCAATGTGGTTTTGATTTGCGTTTCTCTAATGACCAGTGATGATGAGCTATTTTTCCTATGTTTGTTGGCTGCATTAAATGTCTTGTCTTGAAAGTGTCTGTTCATATCCTTCATCCACTTTTTAATGGGGTTGTTAGTTTTCTTGTAAATTTGTTTAGGTTCTTTGTAAATTCTGGACATTAGCCCTTTGTCAGATGGATAGATTGCAAAAGTTTTCTACCATTCTGTAGGTTGCCTGTTCACTCTGATGATAGTTTCTTTTGCTGTGCAGAAGCTCTTCAGTTTAATTAGATCCCGTTTGTCTATTTTGACTTTTATTGCCATTGCTTTTGGTGTTTTTTGTTTTTTTTTTGTTTTGAGACGGAGTTTTGCTCTTGTTACCCAGGCTGGAGTGCAATGGCACAATCTCGGCTCACCGCAGCCTCCGCCTCCTGGGTTCAAGCAGTTCTCCTGCCTCAGCCTCCCAAGTAGCTGGGATTACAGGCACGCGCCACCATGCCCAGTTCATTTTTGTATTTTTAATAGAGACGGGGTTTCACCATGTTGACCAGGATGGTCTCGATCTCTTGACCTCGTGATCCACCCACCTCGGCCTCCCAAAGTGCTGTGATTACAGGCATGAGCCACCGCACCCAGCCCCGCTTTTGGTGTTTTAGTCATGAAGTCTTTGCCCATGCCTATGTCCTGAATGGTATAGCCTAGGTTTTCTTCTTAGGTCTTAAGTTTAAGTCTTTAACCCACCTTGAGTTAATGTTTGTATAAGGCGTAAAGAAGGGATCCAGTTCCAGCTTTCTGAATATGGCTAACCAGTTTTCCCAACACCATTTATTTAAAGTATCCTTTCCCCACTGCTTGTTTTTGTCAGGTTTGTCAAAGATCAGATGGTTGTAGATGTGTGGTGTTATTTCTGAGGCCTCTGTTCTGTTCCATTGGTCTATATATCTGCTTTGGTACCAGTATCATGCTGTTTTGGTTACTATAGCCTTATATAGTTTGAAGTCAGGTAGCATGATGCCACCAGCTTTGTTCTTTTTGCTTAGGATTGTCTTGGCTATGTGGTCTCTTTTTTTGGTTCAATATGAAATTTGAAGTAGTTTTTTCCAATTCTGTGAAGAAAGTCAATAGTAGCTTGATGGGACAGCATTGAATCTATAAATTACTTTCGGCAGTATGGCCCTTTTCACGATATTGATTCTTCCTATCCATGAGCATGGAATGCTGTTCCATTTGTTTGTGTCCTCTCTTATTTCCTTGAGCAGTGTTTGTAGTTCTCCTTGAAGAGGTCCTTCACATTCCTGGTAAGCTATATTTCTAAGTATTTTATTTTATTTTTTGTAGCAATTGTGAATTGGAGTTCACTCATGATTGGTCTGTTTGGGTGTATAGGAATGCTTGCGATTTTTACACACGGATTTTGTATACTGAGACTCTGCTGAAGTTGTCAGCTTAAGGAGATTTTGGGCTGAGATGGAGTTTTGTAAATACACAATCATGTCATCTGCAAACAGAGACAATTTGACTCCCTCTTTTCCTAACTGAATACGCTTTATTTCTTTCGCATGATTTATTGCCCTGGCCAGAACTTCCAATACTATGTTGAATAGGAGTGGTGAAAGAGGGCATCCTTGTCTTGTCCCAGTTTTCAAAGGGAATGCTTCCAGTTTTTGCCCATTCAGTATGATACTGGCTGGGGTTTTCATAAGTAGCTCTTACTGTTTTGAGATTCATTCCATCAATACCTAGTTTACTGAGAGTTTTTAGCATAAGGGAGTGCTGGATTTTGTTGAAGGCCTTTTCTGCATCTATTGCGATAATCGTGTGGTTTTTGTCATTGGTTCTGTTTATGTGATGGATTACATTTATTGATTTGCACATGTTGAACCAGCCTTGCATCCCAGGGATAAAGCCTACTTGATCATAATGGGTAAGCTTTTTGATGTGCTGCTGGATTCAGTCTGCCAGTATTTTATTGAAGATTTTATACCAATGTTCATCATGGATACTGGCCTGAAATTTTCTTTTTTTGTTGCGTCTCTGCCAAGTTTTGGTATCAGGATGATGCTGGACTCATAAAATGAGTCAGGGAGGATTCCCTCTTTTTGTATTGTCTGGAATAGTTTCAGAAGAAATGGCACCAGCTCCTCTTTGTACCTCTTGTAGAATTTGGCCGTGAATCTGTCTGGTCCTGGACGTGTTTTGGTTGGCAGACTATTAATTGCTGCCTCCATTTCAGAACTTGTTATTGGTCTATTCAGATATTCAACTTCTTCCTGGTTTAGTCTTGGGAGGGTGTATGTGTCCAGGAATTTATCCGTTTCCTCTAGATTTCTAGTTTATTTGCATAGAGGTGTTTATAGTATTCTCTGATAATAGTTTGTATTTCTGTGGGATCAGTAGTGATATCCCCTTTATCATTTTTTATTGTGTCTATTGGATTCTTCTCTCTTTCCTTCTTTATTAGTCTGGCTAGTGGTCTATCTGTTTTGTTGATACTTTCAAAAACCTGCTCCTGGATTGATTTTTTTGAAGGGCTTTTCGTGTGTCTATCTCCTTCAGTTCTGCACTGATCGTAGTTATTTCTTGCCTTCTACTAGCTTTTGAATTTGTTTGCTCTTGCTTCT